GGGTCTCTTGTCACCTGCTTTGCAAACTGTCCTTTTCCATTTCTAGCTCTGTGCACCTGCCTTTCCACTTTTACACAATCAGGTATTTAAAAAAATTTTACATTCTATTGTATAACGATAATGAAATCTTCTGTACTTTACCTAAAGGTTTATTTTAAAAGCTGAAAAACAAAGTATTTCTATTACTAAAATTACGTGGATAGTTTACTAAGTAGTATAATGCCATGATTTCTCGCACAGCTCTTCCCTCCCAGGTTCATAATTACCTCTATTTGCTTTTATTATGTGCTCTAAAATGTTGAAAATAAAATTAAGTAGGGAGACTCCGACCCTGATAGAATTAGCCAGAGAGACACAATTATTTTGGAAGTGAAGAGGAGGAGGACTGCCTTTGGCACCCAGATGCCAGGAAACCTGGATAGGAGGCAAGCCCTCACCAGCTTTGGAAAGCTCAATTCTCACGCCATACCACTGCCCTGCTAGATGCTGGGGCTCATGTCACCTCCCTAGGAAAACTTACGCAAAAGATCCATGTGTTTGCATTTAAAGGAGGGCTCATATGTAGTGAACTCTCCTAGTGGTTGGCCAGACTCAGCATCCACAAGGCCCCATCCTCCTCCTAAGGAACCTTGATAATGGGAATTCAGATTCTTAGGGCAGGCTGTAGGGAATGCTCTTAGGTCATGACTTTGGGTACTGACCCATTTTCTGGGGTTGGTCCAGGTAGGTACCATAGTCAAACACCCACTTCCCTATAGTTTGTGCCTATGTGAGGCAGACATCAACCAATGGATTCAGATGGTAGCATGTTTTTTCTTTGACACACTTTCTAATATTTGGAACTTGCACATCATCATGGACCCAGGGTCTAGCTTAATCTCAAAGGATTCTAGTGACTTGTTTAAAAATTTTTTTTATTGTGGTAAAATACAACAAAATTTTATTATATCAACCATCTTTTAGGTGAATACAGTTCGGCGATACTAAATGCATTCAGAATGTGCAGTCATCCCCATCATCCAACTCCAGTGCTTTTTCATCTTATGAAACTGAAATTCTGCATCCATTAAACAATGACTCCTCAGTCCTCCATTCTCCCCAGTCCCCAGCAATCAACATTTTATTCTCTACAATTTTGATTACTCTTAACTACCTCATACAAATGAAATCTTAATGTTTTTCTTGTTGCAATTAGCTTATGTCACTTAACATAATGTCCTCAAGGTCAATCCATATTGTAACATGTCAGAATTCCCTTTCCTTTTAAAACTGAATAATAATCTGTAGTGTGTATAGACCACATTTTTGCTTATCCATTCTCCTGTAGGTGGTCACTTTGGGGTTGCTTCCATGTTGTATCTACTGTAAATAATGCCACTATGAATATATCTCTTTGAGACCCTGCTTTCATTCTTTTGGAAATAACCCAGAACTGGAATTGCTGTATTACATGATAAGTCTGTTTTTAATTTTTAAAGGAACTGCCATATTGTTTTCCACAGCATCCCTGCCACTTACATTCCCACCAACAGTGCACAAGTGTTCTTTTTCCCATATCATAGCCAGTGTTTGCTATTTTTTTTTTTTAATAGAAACACCCTAATGGGTGTCAGGTAGTATCTCACGTAGTTTTGATTTGCATTTGTCTAGTGTTTAGTGGTGTTGACCATATTATTAACCATTTATCTTCAGAGAAATGTCTATTCGAATTCTTTGTGACCATTGCTTTCTTTTTGATGTTATAATTTGGTTCCTTTCATTGACTCTGCTGTCATCCCTCTGGATATCTTTCCAACTAATTATACTCCCAACTTTAGTTTTCTTGTCTGAAACAGAAATAACTACTCTGATAGCCTTGGTTCTTTGTGTTTAAAAAAATGTATTAGAAATCCAAAAATGGGGGTTATTTCAAAATGGCACAGTGAATTCACATTTGATCATCTTCTACAATAAAGACACACAGGACTGAAAAGACTGGTCCAAAAAGAAGGCAAATGGTTCCATGGGCCAGAAACAGAACCAAAGTGCAACACATTGAGCAAAGTTGAAGCTGTGGCCTGCTGCATCTGGAGCTTGGTGGTGGCGTCGGCTGAGAATTCCTTTCTGTGGGTGAAAGGATCTGAAGAAGCTCCAACATAGACAGGAGATGGGGACAACTGTCACTGCTTCCACCCACTTCATGAAAGCAGGTCAGCCAGCAAACAAAGGCACACTGCCCCTGCTGTGCATCTGGGCTGTGGCTTTGAGAATGACAAAGCAGATATTCACCAACCCAAACCCATCCTGAGCTGGGTCTGGGCTATTCCCAGGTCACTTCAC